GAACTACAAACTCTCCTCCTTTGTCGCTGACCGACACCTTGATCTCCCCGGCAGCACAAAGGTCGCGGATTTCGCGCAGGCCGCGGCGTTGCAAAAGTGACAAATTACTATTTTGCCGTTTTGCGCGGAATTGGTTGAGAACTGAGAAGAGCCCGGTAGCAAATACTCGAAACTTTGCATCCACTGGTTGATTAGGCTCCTGCGTTTATAAACTAAACATGGAAAAGGTTTAACTGGCCATGTTTTTCCCCCAGCTGTTTCGCCGTCTCTTACGCTCTCACGCTCGTTGACTCGCTGACGTATCTTTTCGTGAACATATTGCAGGCTGCCGACAATCCTACGCGATACCCGAGATCCTATTGATTGACTAGGTGCGAAACTAGGACCAAGATCCAGTAATGATAGCGCATAATCGGAAATGAGTGCATTGCCAATTACCGAGACCCGGAATCGACTAGGAGTATTGGTGAGAGTGGAAGCAGCACAGTTTTGACTTTCGTAACCACAACGGTTTGCACTAGCTGGCTCCTGTGTACAGTCTGCCCCAATCCTAATCAGGCCAAAATTGGCATGGCGGGAGTCCGCATCGCTAGGGTTTCGCGGTCACGCCCACGGCCTGCTTGTCTGCTCTCTCCTCGATCTCCTCGTCCTCTCCGCCAGCGCGCATATGCAGCGCAAACGCCTAGCGCTGCGAGCGCGCAAATCCACGCCGGTTCGGCCTGGTCCCAGTTGGGGCAGACCGTATGGTCTTTCTCTTGCTCAACCAAAGTTTTGAACTTTTTCTGCAATCTGGACTTAGCGTTAGATCGGACATGATCACAGATGTGTTTCGAACTCACCCAGATCTTCTTCCAAAGGCGATCAGGCATATATCGTACACAACATTGCTCCTTATATAAACACTTAGACAATAATTTGTACATATGATCTTGCTTCGAACGAAGTGCCATACGAAGAAGTTGTTGCTCGGTTTTCTTCACATGCTGACTTCCTTTGGGTAGCCCGCATACTTCGTGGATGCGCTTCTTTGTGATGAAATTCGGCATCACATGTTCTTGTAAGCAGCGGCGTAGAAAGTGGATGGTCTGCCCCTCCGAGACAATCTTTTGTCTCAAAAAGAGAATTTCTTTCACGAGTCGAAACAGAGTTGCTGGTACATCGTTCATCAGAATCCATGTTCGACTATCCATAAATCTTGGCATAGTTTGAATCTTCTGATTAGTTTCTTTAGCAGCGTCCAAGATTGGTACAGATATTTATTCCACAGTATACAGACTGACGTTTCGGCAAACTCGCCTTCTTCGGAGTCTGAAAAGTCGAAAACACATAAGTGAACTATCCGATCAAACACCTTATCGACTACAGAAAAGAGCCCAACCCTCTAGACAAGCAAGTATCAACCAAAACGCAAGATTAAGCTAGTGCTCACCTTAACAGATGATAGATTTGGTTGGCAGCACATCCTGCACGAATAAAAGCATCCATCATAGGGAACATGTTTAGAACGGCTGCAGGGGTCTCTTCTGATAGAGAAGAAAAGATGCACTCGCTGGAACTCGCTAGATCCGTAGCAAGATCCAATGGATATAGCACGGAGACTCATCGTCCTCACAGATCCCGGGTTCATGGTCCGCCTAGATCAGAAGCTGAAGATCAGATCTCATTCCGTCCACCATATATCTCAGAACAGTTTAGTAGGGCTGTTCGCAAAGTGCTCCATCAAGCAGACCTCAACGACATAGTAAGGATCGTCGATATTCCTCCTGCAAACCTTAAGCAGCAACTGGTACGAAACCGCGAGTATCATCATCTCTGTACAACTCCTCATTGTGTAGTTTGTCCGTTTGGCAAGAAAGGAGACTGTATGGTATCAGGTGTTGTCTACCTTATCACGTGTACAACATGTGAAGACACGTATATTGGCGAGACAGCCCCCCCCCCTATGTACGCACATCAAAGAACACTTAGATGGTCTCAGCAAGGGCAATGTAGCTACTCCGTTAGGCATGCATCGCAAGCTCAGCCATGACGACGCGGAGGTGGGAGTGCAGGTTCGAATCCTGGCGCGTGAACCCGAAATCTTAGCGCGCAAGACACTCAAAGCGTTTTGGATAGCCGCCCAAAATCCAAAAATCAATCGGAAGGATGAGTGCCTAGCCATCACTAACGAGCTGTCACCTTATCAGAGCCTTTGTGGCTTTTGAATAATGAGGTCAGGTCAGGACCGGGTGACTAGATTAATATAAAAGTAATGCAGTACAGTTTTTGACATGAGTGGTCTGCACACCAAATCTATTATCTGTTAAGGTGAGCACTGGCTTAATCTTGCGTTTTGGTTGATACTTGCTTGTCTAGAGGGTTGGGCTCTTTTCTGTAGTCGATAAGGTGTTTGATCGGATAGTTCACTTATGTGTTTTCGACTTTTCAAACTCTGAAGAAGGCGAGTTTGCCGAAACATCAGTCTGTATACTGTGGAATAAATATCTGTACCAATCTTGGACGCTGCTAAAGAAACTAATCAGAAGGTGTAAAAGTTCTTCGCGATAGATTCCATCTTGTATCGGGAAGAAGTCGGAGTCCCGTCTTCGTTCAGTAGTGCAGCCAGCGGTAAGTGATATTCGCAGAGGTCCCTTCGGCAATTCTTGAGACTTCGTCTTCTTTCGGCTGCTTCCAGTATCTTGGCTTGCCTGTACTTCCCGAGATCCTCTTGCAAAGCTGTTCTGCAACTGGCGTTGGCTATCAGTCGCTCGAGATAGGTTGCATTCGGATCCTGCCCCAAAAATCTTCTTCTTTCGAGCAATTCCTTGGTGGTCTTCGAAATGCGTTCCAAGTTCTTCTCAGAAGTCACTGAGGCGCATTCTCCACAGGCTCGCAATCCTTTCAGAAGCCGGTAGTAGTCGTACGTTGGGTCCTCCTTGATGGGCCAGTCACAACTTGATATGAGCTCTTCCAGCCTGTTACCGTCATAAACGACTTCCTTCCTTCTCGCGGCACTATGACAGACTTTCTTTTCCAGCCTTCGGCTGAGTCGTATCTTCGCTCGAAGGAGGCGGTGATCGGAGCCACTACAGAGGGATGGAACTACAGAGACATCGAGTAAGCTCCACCTTTGGTTGGTGAGAATGTGGTCGATCTCAGCATGAGTCGTTTCGTTGGGAGATTCCCAAGTCCACCGGCGATGTTCTTTCTTCATGAAGATGGAGTTTCCATGGAAGAGTCGTGCAGCGGAGAGAAGCCCAACGAGACGGTTGCCGTTTTCGTGAATTTTCCCCTACAAGAGGTGGCTTACTAGGCCTACTCTTGATTTCCACGGGGCGATCGCTGACCCCGGGCTTGGAGCAGGGAGGGACCGCCTAGCGACCAGAAGAAGCCAGACGGCGGGGGACCTGGCGTGGCCGGTTCTTAGCTAGGCATCCGGCCGAAACCGGAAACGTCGAACTCCTTCACAGCTTGGGAGGCCCTACCAGAGTATACACTCGGCTGTGCATCGCAGTTCGACACCCAGTGTCACCCCCACGCCACGATGAGGCGACCAACCATTGTGGGGGATAGGTAGCATTATTGACAATTATTAGTCATGAATTAATTTGACGCTGCAGATGAAGAGGCAGCTACCTAAAATCCCATTTACTCTGAAGTGGTTGATATCATATCACCTCTAGAATTAAATCACTGAGGCAGAACTTAAGCTTAGGTGTCAGAGTTAAACGCGTGCTGCAGAGTCGTGCTAACACCATGCCGGTATCCACTTGGACGCACTGCGTATTGGCTGACTGATCTCCGCGGCAAAGCTTCGGCACGGTCAGCACGGTGCTGTAAGGGCGCTGAAAATAGCATTTCGATGAGCTTGGGCAATTTCACTAATCATGTAAAGAAATCTGTGGCTCATGTTGTGCTACAGCCTATCTTACACGTTCAACTGAACAAAATCACGTAGAATGATTTGTGAAACAGTCACCAATGTCACTTACGAAGCATTGCTTCACTTACTTGCATATATTAGGTTGTCCCGAAAGTTTTGTCCGATTTTCATCGCTTACTAAAATTTACGGAACACCAATATATGGGCAGCTTAGGTACCATTGGGTTCAAACTTTTTTACTCTTTCTTACAGCTTTACTTGCTTTCTGATCTACCTTGCTTTGTAATGTTAGCGCCATTCCTTTTTGAGCAGCTCAGCAGTAACATCAAATCTTTCCTAAATTTTGAAAATTTTTTGCTGATATTTTCAAAGAGCGCTATAACTATTATGTAGAGCAAATTTTTGACGACATTTTACATATTTTAGATTACATGAATGACGTTTTCCAAGTCCGTTAAAATTATTTATTTAATAGAAACCGCGGCTTTTTAATTACGTTTGCTCACTCAAAAGTATCGAAAATTCAAAAAGCAGCTTTTTCAAAGCAAATCAAACTTGGTTATGTTGCATGAATAATGTTAAGAATCATGTTTTCATTTGCAGAAATTTCAAAAGCTTTCATGTATTTGCTGCAGTTGCGTGTTTCATGACTTTGCCAAAAATCGAGACCTTCAAAGAGTTAATTTTTTCAAGCTAAAAACAGCAGATCAACAGAACCTAAAAATATTGCTTTGTAGTCCGAGAATTGCTGTATTTGATCTATATTTAATCCTTTCCGAAACTTTGAAACGAAATTCTCAAAAATTAGCTAAACTTTGAGCACATGAAATTGACGGGTGGAGGATTTTGGCAGTTATCAAAAAAAGCATAAAATATTTTAGTTAGAAAATGTGTCCACAAGAAGGAGAAGGAAAAGCTGCATAGAATGCCTTTTAGATCTTATTCAGGTCTTCATTGTGTGTGTATAGTGGTTTGAAAAAACGGACATAACTTTCGGGACAACCTAATATATGCAGATTTTTGGCTTTTTGCATTTGAAGTTATACATACATAGTTTCAATAATTTATGAGACCAATATGTACAGCTAGGCTTATTGAATATATGACAATGTACGAGCGGGTCGAGCCATTGCATACATCAAAGTGGCCAAAGTCGAGTTCTGGAAGTTTCCAAAGATTGTCGCCATTTTTTAAGTTCGCTCGTCCTTCTCATGTCTTGTAGTAGTTTGCGTTGTCTCTGAAAATCATTACTCTGCATGGAAAAAATTGGAAAGCATTTTTTACCTGCATATGGCGCAGTATGGAGGGCGAAGAGTCCAGCGCATTTCTGCCATTTCTTCCTTGAAATACAGAGATTGACAAAAGCATTGTATGAAACCAAGCTATAAGCAGAAAGAACAACACAAAGTTTTACTGAGTTTCCAGAAAGTTAGGTATGCACTGGAGTTTCTACCAAATGTGTGGTGAAAGTGAAAGTTGAAGGATATGCTGAGAAATACAACGAGCAGAACCTCTTAAAGGCAATAGCTCGGCAGATTTTTACTTGCAGTGATTTCGCAGGAGTTGATATTTTCGATCCTCCAAACCTTCGTAAGGGCTCCATTTTGCAAAAAAAATGACGAAAACTTGTTTCTTGGATGCTTTATTCAGCGGAGTGATCGAGTTGAGCTGTCGGCTGTAATGTCTTGTTGAAAGACATGTAGGTTATTGGGCCTAGGTGACCATAGATCTCAATTTAGTCAACATCTCAAGGTCAACCACGACGGGAACTGCTCCCGAGTAAAGCCACATTCTATTGTGGAGAGCCGTTTTTGCGAAACCATGACCTTCGCTCTCCTTGGGCCTAAGGCATACCTCACGCGATTCCAGGCGCCACGCGACTCATCGTAGGAGCGACTGTTAATAACTGGTCATTGCCAACATTTTTTTTTGAGCAGGACATGGTCCGCTTGCAACGACTTACAAAAGCTAAGCGCCTGGCATTTGGGAACCGCGCACTACCAATCTGTAAGATTATGGCAAATTGCCAAGTCGCGTGAACGCCGCGATTTAGACGAATCGCGCAAGGTATGCCTTGGGCCACAAGCTTAGAGCGTAACCTAGGCGATTTCCTTCGTTGATCAATAAAACAGTTGGAATCATTGTCTTGAGGACCTAATAGCGTTTTCTTTGTTACAAAAATGCAAGTGTTAGAGTTTGCTGGGAGAAGCTTTAAGCTCACCTTCTCCGCCATCGATTACTGGCATTTCAGGTCTCAATGCATTTTTAGGTGAACGTCGCAACGAATCTCCTGTCGAAATTCTCATCAGTCTGGCATCCGTCCCAACAAGGTCTGAGTCAGAATTGCTGTTTGTTCCGGAATCTGGCAGCTGTCCATGTCCTGGACAGCATCAATGAATTCGATTGCGTTAAGGTTCCTTAAATCATACACTCACTCGACGATGTTCCTTCGACGACTCGAAGCTTCGGTGTTGAGAGTACATCTGAAGTGGTAACCCGAGCATGACCCGAGGGTGCGTGAGTCACAGGATCCACAAATACTGTGTACTAAAAGACAAGCATCAGCAATATTCAAAGATGTAACGAAGGGAAATTTTCATCAAATACAATTATTGAATAATTGATTGAAATTTTTGAGGGATTAAATATTAAATAATGACTTCCAATTTTGCCCACGAGCGAATATTATTCAATTTTTGATTTTCATATTATTGAATCCAAATATTGGAATATGGATTCCAAAATTCAAATCTAAGAATATTCGAATAAAACTTGAATTGATATTCGACTATTGATTAATCAAATAATTTGATATTATGAATATTCGGACATTTGAATATTCGAAAATTCAAATGCGATATTTGAATATGCAACAAAGTTCGCGTATGAAGCATGTGAATAAACATTTTAGCACTAAAAAAGAATTATTTTTCTCTTGCTCAGTTATTATAGTATTCTAACAACTGTTTTGAAAAGTTCTCGAATGTTCATATATTTGGATCTTTTAATTGTTAATTCGAATCAAGCTTTGCTTATTTGGCTATTCGTCACTCGAATAAATTCATCTCAAAAATTGGACGACCATTTAGATATTCGAATAGTCTGTTATTTCGACTAATTATTCGAATAAGGATATTCGATTACAACTATAATCATTGAGCTATCACAATCTACGCAATTTAACTATGAAATCAGTTATAATTTTGATGAAATTTGCTTACTACAGAGGAAGGTTACTAATCCTGATACTTATTTCAAAAAACTTTTCTTGCTGAAGCAAATGCTATTAACGGACTGTGCGGAATTTTGTCTAAAGGTTCCAGCTGGCCAAAACGTTTTTGTGGGTCTCGTTAGAGTCAAGTGAGGCGGTTCTCTTAGCAGGAGGTTATATGACAATTTATGCGCAGCATTTAAAACAAATAAGTGAAATGAGCGGTTGAGATGTTAAGCCGAAACAAAAAATATGAAATACTAATTTACGACTGAGCATTAGAAAATTCAAGAATTGCTGCTCGCAATTCTGCCACGTATGCTAGCAACATTGTGATGTGCTGTTTTCGAAGCCACGGGGTAATCTGTCCCGGTTATCTAGCAATAGTTACAAATATTTAACACGGAGAAAAAGCTGTGTCAATTTTGCTGTTTGTCCTATCGTCACACTGCGTTAAAGTGACACTTTCACTAAATTACCAAGTGGCTTTTTCAGATTGATAATTATAAAAGTTTCTAATTGGAAATAAACATGCCATATTCAAACTAAATTCGCCATTGCTTGTGTCGCCGTCCACCTCGGCAGCCTGAAAGGAGTTCCGGTTGAATGCAAACATAAAAATTAATTTTCCCCTACCTCGAATGCTTTTGAGGGATGCGCATCAGCTCCTGGCATGTATATCTTACTGACAGGATTTCGTGAGTTCACAGAATCGGAAGTTTTACCCCAGATAAAATTATGTGTGTTCATTGGCTCCTCTTCATCTGCAGTTCTTTCGGCAGCAAATGGCACGATAGGAATGTCGATCTTTCTGAGCTTTTTGTTGGATTTCCTTGCATGTTTGCGATGTTTTCGCCTGGTTTGTGGAGCTACTGTCATCATCTTCGTGCTGCTTCGTCCCTTCTTTGATGTTTGGAAGTGCTCAACAGTTTCTTCTGTGTTAGCAGGATTTGAGCTTTTCAGATTTCCATTGTTGCCAGCACCATTCACGGCTGGCTGTGGCGGAATTTCGAAATCGTTTTTTCTATCTCCGATGGACTCATCGAATGGAAGAGGGAGCAGTTGCTTAGCTTGCGTCGATCCATAAGCCGCAGCAGAATGCATCTGACTAGGTGGTGCCGATCTATGATGGGCACCGGTAGGAACAACGTTGAGATCATCAAACTTCTTTTCACTGGAAATCTCTGCCGACAAAAATCCTCCCGTTGTCGCTTGATTCCGTGATACTTGCAATTTATTTGTAATCTTTGATCCCGAAGCAGTTGCGGTCTCGGAGGGCTGCTCCTCTTTTGCCTTTTTTGCCCGTTCCCGGTAAATCTTTCGTTTTCTAGCAAGCGGTAACTGCTGTCGAGTTCTGGCATTTGTAGAAACTGGATGGACAGTGAAGCGACTTTTATTCGAGTGGCGATGCCTATGCGATCAGAAAATTAACAAAAATTTAGCACTTTGAGACCGATTCATTTAAGAGAAACTCTCACCAAAATCGCGTTTCTCGCGCATTTGGCGCGTGCCTACGCTCGTATGCACAAATTATTATATGGGAGTGTTTTTTGAAGCTTATATTTCCAACAAGCATGGTTTTCAAAGAATTACATGTATCTTACAGAGTCTTACCGAAAACTACACATCAAAATTTTTGCATCACTCTCCTCTCCAATAAACTATAAATGGCTATGTCTGAGGAATCTCCCTTCAAGAAAAGTGTTATATCGAATGTTCTCGTCTAAGTTCATCCTTCACTGTTCCCAGAATAGTTAGACAAAGTTTCCACCTCCTCATAAAACAGTACCATTTTTACCACGTCAAAAAAGGTATAAATAAAATCTCAAATCTTGATGCCCTGCTTTCTAAGTGACAATCAAGCCACATTGCTGCCCAGGAATCACCCTAGACATTTCGTTTACACCTGCAAAACTGGCGTGCATACGTGCGTATGCACGAGGATGCTGAGCCGGAGTCAGGGCGTGTATACGTGTATACGAGCATATGTACGCGGTCGTCAACGTGTTAACTGAGGAATCTCCCTTTTCTTACCTATTTATCCATTCTCAAATCCCAACTCAAAAATGACGGAAAATTATCAAGTATCTACCTGGAAGAGGTTTTCGGTAACCTTCGATATCCTAGCGAGTTTCCATGAATGGTAAAGTACTTGCTGTTAAAGTACTCGAGTTTCTGACTTGCACTCTCAGTGTTAGAATCATTTTTGCCGGTGTTTTGCTCCAACAATTGAGATTCGATATTGGTTCGGGGAGCTGTATGAGGAGTTGGCGGTCTCCGCGCATTTTGAGAAGATACTTCGCTTGTAGTAGGAGCTTCATCATTAAGATGAGTGAACGCTTTTTCTGCCGCTAGAGGAATAGCGCTTTTCAGAGAAACGTCTTCTTTCGAATCCAGCGCAGCACTTCCTATATCCTTCTTGTGCGGAACTGAGCCTTCTTGAACTTTAACTGCTTCCGATTGAGAGATTGATCCTTCTAGGTGTTTTTCTTCTTGGTTGTCATTCATCTGGGGGCTTGGTGGACGTTGTTGAGAAAGATCAGCCTTTGCAATTTCTTTTCCTAGCAATACCTGCTTGCAGCTGCATCTCTGCAAGAAAAAACTTATATTCAGTCGTGTTGAGAGTGTTCTTAGCCTAATTGCAGTAAATATAGCGTCGGTTGCTGTGCTACAAATTTCGGCACAGGATCGCTAAATAATCATCACGATATCTAATCAGCATATTCTTTATAGCCACCGTAAGGGATGCCACGCCCCGTAATGTTGTAGCATTTTGTATATGTTAGAATGGCGCAGTTCGTGCGTAATTCTAACGAAATTCAGTAACTTTTCAAATGCTAGAGCTAAATTCACACTTCAGTACCCTAGAAATTTTACAAGGTTTGGCCTTGTAATAGATGTTCAAGCTACCATATAATGCATAAGTTAGCCAACTTGAACGAGGCTTTATGGTTTTGAAATTTTGCGATTTTGAGTTTGGTGCCAAAACCGCGGGAAAGCTGCTAGCTAGCCCAAAAAATGTTCAAAGATTACTTACACCGTAAAATGCAAAAACACAATGAGGGAAAGTGTCGAGTCACAGGAATTCCCTTATCGCTGCAGTTTTTTCATAGAAACACAAATTGGAACCAGAGATCAGATCTAAGTTCTATTTGAAACGTTGTGAGGCTTTTTAGAGCGTCAAGAGTGTATTAAAGTTTTTTTGCGTTACCATACAAGATTGGAGCCTGCCACAGTCAGGGCCCGGCACGAGGTGGACAAACGGGGTTTTCCAAAACGAATTCCCCTTTCATCCCAATAATTTCTACGAATACCCCCTTGAGCAGAAAAATGACGCTTTGTGCTTGTGCAACGAGAGTACCGGCCACACTTCGCTTAAAAGCACTCAAAAGCGCCCAAATTGCTCAAATTCCTCAAATTACTCCTCAGCTGTATCAAGATAAAAAACAGGAAAAAATAAGCAAGAAAAATGATGAAGGAATGAGAAAATATCAAAGTAACGCAGTCATAGGAATGAGAGACGCCGTTCCCGCGCGTATCGATTGACTGGGGCGTTCACTTTCCATCTTAAAAAGTTAGGCTGCTGATGCGATTTTGAGCTCTAACAAGAACAAGAGGAGGAGTTTCGGAACAAAAATTTATAGTAAATTTTAGGCATACAATAGATTTATGTAAAAATTTTGAAAAAATTATGTGAATTGAAAGTTTTGCCCACCTCAGGTGGGCATTAGGTGGGCAATTGCCCACCTAATTTGGAAAAAGTTAAGCACGCTCTTCATTCACATAAGTTTTTCATACATTCTTCCTTAGTTCTACTGCGCGTATACACACCAAGTCTCGCACGATTTCGTTTTCTCTGCGCTGCAAACGAGCCATTTTTCCATTTTCTTGATAGGGAATTTTCAGAAAAAAGCTTGCCCCAACCTTCAGTCACATAATTTTTCAATGAAACTTCTAAGTCAAGCCTTGCAGGCCGGTGTTCATGTATCTACCAAGTTCCATAAAGTATGGTCATCTGTGCGCTGCAAACGAGCCATTTGAATTCATATTTTCATCGACCAGTTTTGCGAAATTTTTGGAAAAAATGCTTATTACTCCTCCCATTCACATAAGTTTTTCATAATATTTCATACTTTGTTTCTACTAGCCTCTCTTCGGCTCACATATTTGGTGCTATATCGTTACGCCTGCATTGAGAACTGATCATGTAATCATGCTGTTCAACGACATCGCTTATGCGACGTCGCGCACGCGGCATTTAGCGGGGGCGCGGCATAGCGGGCGCGAACTCTGCTGTGCGTTGAGGCCAGGGCCCGGCACAGATTGTCTGGAAGCAGGCTGGACTTCGTTTTCGGTGCAAAAAGCAAAGGAGATGTCGTTCTTGACGAGTCGGGACCGAGCACCAAGAATAAGCGCCACTTTGTCGAACACAAGCTTTTTGGGCAGGTTATCGCACGATTGACATGCTCTATCGTGTACGGCGGAAAGTGCGCGCGATTTGAAAGCAACGCTAAAATAAACAAATTGCTTGTTTACAACGCACACAGAAGCATATGACACCAAAATTGAACTGTATACATAGAAAATTATTTGCGGAAGAATTATGTAAAAAGATTTAAAAACTTATGTGAAGTAATACCTTTTCCAAAATTAGATCGTCTCCAGACGGCCACCAGACAATCTGAGATCGTCTGGAGCATATATTTTCGTCACTTTGCATAAGTTTCGGATCTTTTTAGCATGGGTGGATTCCCCGGTCAAAAGTCTATCCCTGAGCATGAAGACATTTTCATATCATTGCCTTTCCGTTGTTTTGTGCCTTCATTTCTTCTCGCTTTGATAAATATCGCGCTCTAATGCCAAAGTCTTGTGCATGCCTAGTATTCAGCTCCACTTTGGATTTTCACTCTTATCTTACGTCTTTTCTTTCAGACTAGTAAATCTTTCTTGTTTTCATCTCCTCCTAAGCGGGTAGGTCAAAGGGGACTTCGTAAAACTTCCGAAAGTCAGGGGGGACTTCGTTTTCCGGAACCCTAGAAACCGACTCGTGCCGGACCCTGGTTGAGGCTTATGAAAACTACTTCTCAATGAATCGGATGTATGAGGTAATAAGCATGATAGACCTTCTTTTGCTTGCACTTGGAATCTTCTTCCGGGGCTCCGCCCCGCCCTGCAAAAACGATTTCCCCCTTGCTTTTCCACCAAAAACGATTTCCAGCTTGTCATTTGCCCACCTCGTGCCGGGCCCTGGCCACAGTGAGTATGAAGTTTTGCTGCGTAAGTTTCCACACTTCCTTCGAACTACTGGCGATCCTCCGAGATATTCTAGTATCAAACTCAACGCGAAATTTGAAACGCCATTTTTTAAGACTTTGTTCTTGGTGATTAGTTCATAGAATATGGCGTTTAAAATCTATTATTAGAGCATACCATCTATTACAGTCTAGGTTTGAGTATGGATTTAGTTACATGTATTTGATAAGGATATAATTACGCATTTGCCAACTTACACAGAGTATGAGCACTTCCTACGGTTTGTTCGCGTTTCCTGTGGGAATATTCAAGAAAAGATCACTACTTTTTCAAAAAGTTGAAATAGTCTGAGCATTACTGAGCAATATTTAAGCAATGGATGCTTGCGAAGAAGTGATCTGGATTGCCCAATCTAGAGATGACAAACCTTATGCCCGGGCTTTCCTGGAAGACCCTGCATTCCACGTTCTCCTGCATTCCCTTCTATGCCTGGTAATCCGCGTTCTCCGCGTACTCCTGCTATACCGGGCTGACCTTCCTGCAACGTTATTTGAAGAGGACTAAACTTTGTTATGCTATGATGAACCTCAAAATTGTCTTTGCCAGCGTCACCGCGCTCTCCCGGAGGTCCTTCCGGACCGGTAAGGCCTTTCGGTCCTTGTGTACCCATTGTTACTACTGCATCTGGTCCAGGAATTCCAACGCCACTGGGTTTGCCTCTTGCACCCTTTGAAATACCGTTATCAACGAGACCAAATTGTTAGTTTGGAACTGTTTACTTACAGGCATTCCAGGCAGTCCAATGTCGCCAGGCGATCCCGGAGCTCCATTGCGTCCAGGAATTCCCGGCATACCCGGTGGGCCAATGGGACCAGGTAGACCTGGAAAAAATTGGTAAAATTAGAAGTACGACAGAACATCTCAACAACAATGCGTACCAACTTGACCAACTTCGCCTTTGGGACCAGTTGGTCCCGCAGGGCAAACGAAGCAACCGGAATGGACCATATGCACCATGATATCCATTGCATCGACACCTGGTAATCGTGCATATAAAATTATTTACGTCATTGTCCATAGTCAGCGAACAATATGAGTAAATGTTATTTGCATACACAATACGGTGTTTTAAATTCGCAAAGATTTTGATGATTTTAGAAACAGAATTTTTTCGCTGGAAAATAGAGCTGTTGTTCGTCCTCACAAGAAAATTCATCTTTGCACTAAGATTCTCAACTGAGGACACGCATTTTCTATTATATTTACACCTTTACGTAAATAAAATATGCAGGAACTACAAAGAAGAAAGCCGACCTTTTATTCCAACATTCCCCGGCTCCCCAGGCGTGCCATCTTCCCCTTTCGCACCGGCGGGACCGGGCAATCCCCTCGGACACGTATTCGTTGACATGCACTCTTAAATATACGTTGCTCTGCTTTAGTGAAACTTGTCTCCGGTAAAAGAAACAAAACAGAGTTGAGCATTTTTTGAAGGTAAACTTACTACATTGCATTTTTGATCCAGTGTAAATTTCAATAATTTCTCCTTTGTCTACATTGCGGGTTCCAAAGGCTGCTGCACCTTTCCCCTGAAAGCTGGACTGCCATTGACATAAAAAAAACAATCAGGAAATAGATGTGGCCCATTTACCAAGCATTAGTTGAGCCTATGATCTCCGATATACAAATATTAAAAGTCAAGTCTGAGCTGAGGAAAAACGAATTTCAAGCTATTTTTGGGTCACGAGTGAAGTAGGTGAATGCTCATAGAAGTCTTGCACCAATTCACAGAAGCTAAAACACAATTTTACAATGAATTTTGTAGCACAATGCAGAATTTTTCGAGTATACAGTTCTTTTGGGCCTGAGCTGTTCTCGTCAAAATGGCTATGAAACTGTAAACATTGGCTGGACATAAGGAAGCAAAATCTTACTACTTTTCTTCTGTGTATCCATCTTCTCCTCACAATTGTTCTGCGTCTTTTTCCAGATGATGCGGAAGTTTCATCGTCCAAACGTTTCCTGAAATTTTGGTCGTTCTTAAAGGTCTTCGATCTTATAACACACATTCCAGCATTGTGCCAGCTTGCAATTCGCATTCAGTTTGCTTGAGCATGCTTTTCTGCCTTCTCGTTTCCTGCCCTCGCTCCCTCCCCCCACCCACAACATCATCGTATTAGTATCCTTGCTCGTAACTTGGTGTATAATAAAATGACATGACGAAACTAAAGAAATCCTGTTCTTCAATCTGTCAAAACTTTACAGTGATGAGAACTGCAAGGAAGTTGTTGCACTCCAACGACCTTAAAATCAGGGCTCGGCACAAGGTGGCTTACAAGCAAGCTGAATATCGTTTTTGGGACGAAAAGCAAAGGGGGTTTCGTTTTTGTGACCGAAGAGACACGCAAAATCGGCGATTTGGCAACGTTTTTTTTAGTCGACGTTTCGTTTTTGGAGGATTTTTAGGGATTATGGTGGGGGGGGGGGGGTCAAAGGGGACTTCGTAAAAATACCCAAAAGTCAAGGGGGACTTCATTTTTTGCATTTTCATCTAGCCACCTCGTGCCGAGCCCTGCTTAAAATCTGAGTTCAGAATACCAAAGTGTGCCTTCACAAGAGAAAGTGCATAAGAATTCATTTAGAAGTTGCAGGAAATGAAATATCGAAACATCTAGTTATGCACTAAATTGTTTTCAACAAATTCAAATTGAAAAACCAACTGATGAAAATGACTTTCATGCACATATGATCTCAATCCAGTGAAAGTGTGATTGAGCTGGCAGACGACCGGATATTATGAATGACATCTTATGAATCTAATGAAGTGAGAATGATGAGCAGCATAGTATAGAAAAGTCAGTGCATCATTCTTTCGTCTTTCTGGAGATTTTGAACAGTACCATGGCCGACAATCAACAAACCTCTAAAAACATACACAAGCCCACATTTTCGAAGTTCCTTACCTTATGCTTTCTCTACTTCGTCTTGTTGACTGTACGGGAATTTGATCGAGAGTGTCTTTTATTGCCGTTCTGATGACCTGTAATTGTTTGATAACTAAATGCTGTAAGAAGACGCTATAAATTTTGAATGACTGGTTACGCAGGATGAAATAGAAGAAAGTCTTCCGTTCACCTTGACAGTTTGCAGTTCTCGATCAAGCTGCTCCCATGTAGAAGAGACTTCATACCATACAACAGGTATGAAGATAGTGTTACAAATAAGCACTATTAAACCAACAGAAATGGCTACTGTGATTGAACCAACAGCTTTGGCTCCGATCTCGTCTTCGGCTTCAGGCATGGGCTGTAAAGATTATAATATAAGACATCGAAGATTTGTTTTATGCAATTTGTATTAATATTTTCTATCTGTTGCATGGTTTTTTGAAGCAAAAATGAGAAGAATTTGTCTTAAACTAGCGATTCTGATAGCTTTTGAAAATAGTAATACTTCACGTAAAAGTAGAGTATCATGAAGGATTTGCTAATTGAAAAATCATTACAATTCAATATTATTAGAGCTTCCGAAGGAAAACTATGAAAAATGGTGCGAAAATTTCTGCTAGACTTTGAGTCTCCTTTTACATTATGTGCGAAGAATTAAAAGGAATTACATAGTTTTTAAAAGGTGAGTCCTGGATCATCTTGAATCATAATGCTGAAGGAATTTATTGAAGATTAGCTTTTAAAAACTAAATAGCTGCAATAGAGGTGCTTAATCCGGAGATTATGGCTACTACCCCACTTTGAAAAGATGACAGTCGCAGATCTGGGACTTACATACCTATAACACGAGATTACAATCGCATAAGGCATTGCTATGATCTAGCGCTTGGCTATATGGAACGGTGGTGGCTGCCAAATTTAGCGCAAATGTTCTCAGTATCGAAACAAATTATATCTTGTACTGAGCACTGAAGTGTGACATCAAGTGAAATGGTAAAAAATCAGAGTGGGATTGTATTCTTCTTACTTTCAGTAATTTATAGAAAGAAGAGTAGTATTTTAGTTGTGCCTTGTTTCAAAACTTTCTATATGCAGCTGATATCATGTTAGTCTAGTTTCGTGTAGTATACAGAGTGTCCCAAAAAGATGTGCACACTGTTGATCGTTAATAATTTTCTTGCTTTCATGTCTTTTGCCGAGCTTGAGGTACCATACTATAGAGCGAGGTTCAACTTAGACTTACTCTATAGAGCGAATTGTTATCGCTTTTCATTACTGTAGGATTACGGTAAGAATTTTGTTGAGGATTTTAAGCCATTGAAAGCGGTATTTTGCCTCACAAAGGAATCCACACAAGCCAGAAGCTCCTGAACTGAGTTTATCGAAGTCGCTGATTTTAAATATGAAAGCTGCGATTCAGCATAATGCTTCTTTCATGAGTTATTTCAGGTTTGTGGTAGCAACTGTTTTTCCAATGCTCGTCAGAAATGACGCCATCAAAAAAGCTCGAAAAATCAATGAAATGTTATGTAGTGAATTCAGCACGCCTGAAAACCTTATTACACAAACTTCCAGATGGAGCTTTTTTTCATCAAAGGGGCTATTCCACAGTGGCGCTGTATGCTGAAACTTCATATCGTAATCCTACAGTAATGAAAAGTGACTGGTGATTTGCTCCGCACTACAAGTCTAAGCTGAACCTCGCTCAACAGAATATTACCTCAAGCTCGGTAAAAGACATGAAAGCAAGAAAGTTATCAACGATCGAACAGTGTGCACATCTTTTCGGGACACTTCGTGTATGCATGCCCGGTCAATCCTTATTGTAGTAGTGTGGCGGAAGCAAAGGGTACCACAATTTTTTCACATTCTGAAAATTTATATTTCGATCAGCAATGGAAGGGGCATAACGCAAATTTCGTCCGTACTTTCATCTACTCTGGCAACGCCTTTTCTGTCTCTTCCATAACCTTTGAAACTCCCAGCCGACTTGAAGAAATTGGACAGATTTTTTAGTACACATCTCTTGAAACTGCTCATAAATCAATGAGAAATCGAGTGGTCCATTGATCCGAAATGTGAAAGAAATCCAGACAAATAAAGTTGAAAGCCTTTTTTTAACCTACCGAAAGAATGAGCTCTCTGCGATGAGAAATTTATATCTTTCTACCCAAGAATGCCCAAAAAATTTTTAAAAATAAAAAAACACTCTAAATCTTCCGTTTTAAAGCGCTGAAACTTTCGAACCAATGTGCTTCAGACAAAACTTATAGACCTACTGTAGTGCTTCTCCGGATGACTACTCTAACGAACACACTCTTCAATTATACGAACTCGATGTTCGTATTGTTCTTTGAGCCGCGGAGAATGTGAAAGAAGAAATATAACATCATTTGCAGCTTATCAGTAGCTTTCACAGACCCGATGACCTTTGTTTATAATTCCAATGCTTCCGATATATAAGTCGATAATAAGACACGACAGATTCAATGTATGCGTATAACATTTATTTTCTTATTTTCTTGTTTTGTTTCTTCTCTTGTTCCTTTTATTCTTCTTATTACTTTGTTTGTTGCTTGCTTCGCAGATCACAGACCTTTTGGATAAACTACACAGCCACAGACCCAAAAGTCACTTTTGCCATGATAAAGCTTTACTAAACACAGTTTGCTCATCTTCTACTTATTCACAGTCCCATTATTTCATGATTCTCTTCTTCATAGAGACGTCACAGTATTGAATATCCTTTTGCTTGCACTGTTCGTAGTTGTAGTGGGTTCGATTGTTTGCCTTGTTCTCACAGTCCTTTTGCTCTAGCCATTTGCATCTCTTTATGCTAGTTTAGGCTTAGGTCCTTTAGGTGACTTTAGCTTAGTTTATTAGGGTTAGTTTATTTTGATGTTTCGTTAACGCATAATATTGTTTACCTTTCTAATAATAAAGTTTAATTACCCAAGTTTGAGGTTGCTCTCATCTCGTGCGTACGTGCAAGTGTAAGTCCCGCGTGGCAGCTATTGGTGTTCACAGCCCCCATAAACAATTCATACTCTAACGAACACACTCTTCAATTCAGCAGCATGAAAATCACTAAATTAGCAAACGTTTTGTTGTAATCGATGAAAAATCATATGTGATAACATCTGCCATCAGAGCTGCAGTTATTTTCTAAGTGACTTATATTAAAGCATCTGATAACTTGGGTTAATTCAGTATTAAGAAAGGATTCACACATACCCTCCAAAACCATAGCATTTTGTTTCATGATGAATAGTTAGTAAGTCGGAAAAGTTTTTCTTATCGCTTCTTGCATCCGCGCTTCAGAGGCACACGATCATATGGTACAAAACACATCTCATGCTATCTAGCAGAGCTTTTGCATTCTGAAATGACCTTTGCCATTGTTCAATCATCATTTCTTTGTGTTATAGTCATCATCAGCGCTGTGCTTATTGCGAAGGAATCTAAGGGTTTTCCGCTATCCAGGAAAAAGAAGTCAAGGTCTCATGAGTTCTCAGGTCAACGTCTGTCATTCAGCGCTTCATATGTAAGTTACTTTCTTGAAAAACTAGCAAAAATAGAAAATTTTCAAGATCGATGATTTTCACCTATTGCTGCTTTCTAGAGAAAGGATCATATCTATCCAGATGTTTGTGTATCTGCTGCTTTCTACATGGAGCTACAGGTGTCAGGCTTGCGTTAGAACTTCGCCCACATTACCTCCGAGTATGCCGTATGTTATGTTGCTCAGGTCATCTATCTTAAGGCAAATGAATACTTTGTGGGACATCCCCAGAGATATCGTTCTGACAATTTCTTGTTTTCAATAGCACTTTTGATTGCATTTCTGATGCCGTTTTTTGTTCGCATCGTCACATAACTCTTCTAGGGAGTTGCCCATGTCCTATGAACCTCTACGATGTAAATTTGTGTCCGCCTGTTGGTATTTGCTACCGGGATGTAAACGTAAGCAATGACGAGCTTTATAGCTATACAGTGTCCCAAATAATGTGCACGCCGTTTGAGCACTGACAACTCCCTTGCTTTGAAGTCTTATGCCGTTCTTTGGATTCCCTTCTGTAAAACTGGTTTCAATCTAGATTTATTGTAGGGAGCGAATCTCCGATCTCTGTCGTTATTGCAGGGAAGTGGGAGTTTTGAGAAGGTTCCCATGTCATTAAGAGTCGTATTTTGCCTTGGAAAGAAACCAAACAAGCCAAAACCTCTTGTATTAAGCTAATGGAAATTGCTGATTCCAAATATGACATTTGGTTTTTGCAGACATCAACTTCATATTTAGAATGAGCAATGCAAGACTTACTAGATAATTCTTAGGTAAACTGAAACATCTGTTTTTCCAACGTTCTCCATAGTTTTGATTAAAATATTGAAAAATCTTTAAAAAACTTGTAAAAGGTCGTGTAACGAAATCAGTTTGCGTGCAAACTCTGCTGCACAGCATTCTAAATTTTGGGAATTTCTTTACCAAATGGCCTATTTTACCATAGCAGTTTATGCCTGTACCAGTTCAAAGCGCCGCTTCGCGGCGCTTTGAACTGGCTGTTCTTGTGGAGTGAGAAGTGTTCAAAGGCTAGAACTTGTGAAGTTTTGTCTTCAAATCTTTTCGAGCCAAAAGTATAGCATAAAAACTTTAGGTATATACGTGTAGAGAGTAGTAAGTTACTTTCTAGCTCTCTAACTCTTCAACAACTCAAATAGCTCCATGCCACATGCTACCTTAGCTTCACTACAATCTTCTTAACTCGGATTAAGTGCTACTAAATGCTTGAATCCACTCCAGGGCTTTTATATCCGTGTCATAGTACCTTCCTCTCCCTCTCTTCCCCACCCCTACCCTCGTCCCATCCCCCCCCCCTCCCCGGCCCCTCCCAGCCCCCCGCACCTTACTGGTACAGAATACAAACCCCATGTAGCATAATGCCTTTCAAGCACGCAAAATTTTTAAGTAGAAAGCACTGAAGAGTGGTAAGTTAGCCCCTAGCTCTTTAGCTCATAAGAAACTCCAACAGTCCTTAACAGACTTGGACTCAAATAGCTGCACGCCACATGCTGTTAGCTTCATCAAAATCCTCTCAACGCTAGAACTTTTAAGGGGAAGCGTGCCACTAACTTGCTTGACTCCACTCCAGGCTTTTTTCTGTTCATGCCAAGTACATTCCTCTCTCCTCCCTTCCCCTCCCCCTTCCTCCCCTCTCCCCAGCTCCCCGCACCCTACTGGTACAGAACACGTAAATATCACTTTCATGTGTGCAATTTTCCTGCGTTTGAAGTTTTGAGCGGATTTTGCTTTTCTCTTTCCCTGCCCCCAGCCTCTTCCCCATTAGTTACCTACCTACGGAGAATAGAGAGGGAAGATTACGAACGAAATAATTAAACAGTTTCCAATAGAGTTTCCTAGAAGAAAAACTTATTATCTTCTAAAACTTTTTCTAAGTAGAAACTCTTTGAACATTTCTGCAATTATTGTCCTACTTTTCGGGTTCTCCTTCCTTGACGCTGCCAACACAATGCGTAACCTCAAAGTTGCTTATCGAAAGTATGCCTAAGCTTTTCGCCAAAATTCAGCTTTTTATACAGTACCACACAGAATTTGCTGGCTAAGGTGCAGGCTATTCTACTCTACCAAAAGCTCCACCTGCGGCAATTCCTCATGAGGAGAGACCGCATTTCCCTCTTCTTCACTCTCAAATCGCACCTACTGCTCAAACATCCTTTACCAAGTTTTCGAATAAAGTTCGACTTCTACTATTGGGATTCTACGCTTAACCTCAAAGTAATAAGTAAAATTCCATCCTACCCCGCCCCCTTTCCTCAGACTCTTTATGTAAGTGCTTACGATTTAACTTCCATTCACGAAACTTCATCTGCCATATTTCAATTTTCCCCCATTTTCCTTCCCTGAAAGCCTTTCTAGCCTTCACACTCCCTTTAGCTACAATGCGGTCAGAATCCCACTATTTTGCTCACAATATGAAATGTTAAACAAATACTAAAAATACCGCTGTTGGTGTATCAAAATCGAGAACTTTCATGAGGGTAAATCCCATCTGGGATTTCTGCTGCACCACTTACAACTTTGTAAAGCAGTGCTTTTGTACAATTAAGTTATAGAAATTGGCAACTAAAATAAATTGATACCAAAGTTGACACATCCTAATGGGCTAATTGAAATGAAGCGAGCTGTTACTTGGTGACATAATGCTAATCGATAGTACTGTTTATGGACTTGGAGTTGAGCACGAAAGGGCATTCCAGTCAACATCTCGGAAGGCAGACATCCTGGGTGCATTCGGTGCATTCGAGACATAGCGACAAACGCATGAGTCACATGGTCCCCCCTGCGCTTTATTATAGAGTATGATACCAAAAGATCCTGCCGTAATCCTACTGTAACCCGCTCCAGATTGTAAATCTAAGTTGAAGCAAGCTCTACACATTGGTGCCTTGTGTTCGGCAAAAGATTGAAGCAAATGAAGAAACAGTGTGAGCATTTTTTGGGATAACCTATGCGAAGCATACTGTTTCGATGAATTCCAAAATTAAGGCCGTTACTTACACCCCTGGCTTTCTGTGCACAGCAATGATACATTGCCCACCCGAGTATTATGTTCGATTTCTGCTGAAAACTGGCGGCCACCTTGATAACTGTAAGTTTTACAGGAAAAAAATATGTTTGTGGGCATTTTCTAGTAAATCGTGACTTCTTTTTTATCCTTACCGCTACTTTGTCGCATGCTTCGCTGCAAGAGAATTTACAGAGAGTCAACTGAAATCAAACAGAGGGTGATGTGATTGCCATGGGATCTGAACAATGGTAGACCTTGTAGCCCAACAAATTCAGCAGTTTTGATCTTCTACTAATGATTTCATGACCCAATGCTGATATTATTGTGCCATTGTGAGACTATGGCTTTCAACGCTCCTGGTTTCTGAAAGTCACTCATTTCCTCAGAGGTTTTGCTACAATCTAGACCACCAGCTCATAAGCTGTGTATGGAGTGTAAAGATACATCTGGCAATCAGTTGAGTTGCGCCCAAAACTGAGTGCTGTTTCGGCTCAGCTGATCATGCCTATCTACAACGAAAATAAGCTCAGGGAGCAAGGGATCAGTAATCTGGCTTGCATTATAGTGCTTGTAAGAGATGTCGTATCTTCGCAGTACCGGATTGAGTGTCGCGGTAATCAATGGTTTCTTGTCCATCCACGCTTTCCCAACGGCCAGGCAATTAGCAGGCTTATTTGCTACGACACTCCTATTTTTCTGAATCTGAGTAAGTTTTTATCCTACGCACATTGAGAATGTCAATTTAATCGGGTGTTTACCTTCCTTTTTAAACATCTTTGATTGGGTTTTTGTGAGCACAAAAGATAATGGGAAATGGCAAACCCGCGGATTGTTGAGTTTAGTTCTTGAGAGTTTGCCGTGGCATACGCATCTCAATAAATATAATAAACTATATCGCTCCAACTGATATATACAAAGCAAACTGAAGCGATGAGGAAACATGTGGTTTACGTAATATGCGGTCATAATTTGAATATTCTGACATTAGTGGCATATCATATAATGTAAAGAATCTTGGTGAGAACGCTGAAAGAATTTGGAAGAATATTTTTTCTGAGCAGCTAATGAATTATATTGGCCATTTAATACGGTACTGCTTTGAGTTGTCGAAGAAACACCGCATTTTGCCAAAGTCGCCGAACTTCGCGTTGCATCGCCATATCTTGCTTCAGAGTGGACAAATGATTCTGAATCCAGACACAATTCAACTCGGTTCGACGAGATACAGCTTTTGACACATGGAAGCACCCATTTGGGTACAGAATTCCGTCATATCTCACGGAACTTCCCCAGCTCAATAGGTCACTCAGATTATTTATTGCACTAAACTTACAGTAAGCACAAATCTGGGAAGACCTGTGAAGTTTGACCGACGTTCGCGCCCAGATAGACACTTCTATGAATCAGAATGTATTCCCCGATCTTATCAAATGGTGTTTACGGCTTCAAAATCCGTTGACTCTAAAGCAAGCTACGGCGATGCGACGCGAACTTCGGCGAACTCACCGGAAAGCGCTGGTTTTTTTTCACAAATAATGAGCGGTATGTATAATATATGCTTATAACTCTACAACGGGTACGAGAGTATGGGCCAAAGCAGGCTTACATTGATGTGCTACTACAATTTTTCGAATTACAACAAGACTTTGACAAAAGCTTTGAAAGATTGTCACTGGTTAAACTTCAGCCCATAAAGACCAAAGTAGCGAACCATGATAATAACACCATGGAGAAGAAAGAACTACAGTCCACAGGTGCTCCTAGCTAATCAGAAGAGAAGAGACACAATTTTTGGAAAGTTCTCTAGAAAATATCAAAAATATTTTTACAGAAGCTCAATAATAATTCAGAAATCAAGGTAATAGCCAGAGTGCGGCCTCATTTTCTGTACCAACTTTTCTGCATTTAGGAGATATATCAAAGACAACTCGCATTCCTTTGGCGTGTCGGTTGTGTTCAGCCATCGAAAACACCAAGGAAAACAACCTTTGTCCACCAAACTATAAATGCTCGGAGCCGACCATAAAGACCGTGACGTACTCAATTGATTGCAGTAACTCAGTGCTTGAATGTCCTGGGTCTGAGCTGGTGTGAGTTTTTTTTTATAGATTCTTCGAAAAAGAGGCTAGAGCACAATTTCAGGTTGCAACTAAGGTCTGGCCTGAGCACCATCGTTTATACGGAGGATGTGCGTTGTGACGGGATGTGGACATATTATGACGGTCATGATACGCATCAGATCGAGAGCATGCTTTGCCTTAGCGAATAAGCACATAAATCGTGTTTTAGTTGACATCCTTTTGCATATGAGTAGGATAAATCTCTCCTCTTTATTTGTTGTGAAGTTTATAGCGCGTTTTACCCGACTATAAACTGAATGATTGTAGTTGATATCTGAAGCGTGCTATGATTTCTTCTTTGCTCTTCTTTAATAGTAATGGGCTCGCAAGACGATCCAAGCATGGTTGAGTGCGTACAAAAATTGCCTTCTTCATTTAACGCATAGCCGAATTGTCATTCCTTTGACGATTTGCTACGTTTGTCTTAATAACACGTGTAAATCAGCGCGCCGATCTTACTTACTAGCAGACCAGCGTGATCGTCTATATTTTAGCCAAAGACTGCAGTGGACTCAAGAAAAGGAGAAGAGGATAGACCAAGTAGATTCTTTGTAAAATTCTGAGGGGTATTTGGCGTATGGAAACAAAATTGTAAATGCACGTTAGCTTGCGAAAATGCTAAAATAAAGAGTGTGCATGATTTGTCCAAAGCACTAGGTAAAAGTTCAGGAGTTCAGTGTTACTCTGATAAAAACGGAAATAACTACACGCAAACAATTTTGAAACCTTTCAAACTGCTTCATGAACTTCGCATACAATTTTTGAAATAGATATCTTTTTGAAGCAATTCTTTGCTATCTTGGCGATCTCCCCTCCGCTCGGTATTTAGGTAGTTATCATCTATTTAGTTCAAAGCCTTCACGGAGAGTTCTTCCTTCATGTAGAGTAGTAGTAAGAACAAGCTTTCGGTTACAATACTCTATGTAGAAAATTTCTAAGAACCTACTAATAAATTTATGGAATTTTACTGCCTGCATATGTGTGTTACGAAACTTGGAGCGAAAGTAAAGCGGAAAATTATGTTCAAAGAATTCTGAGACTGATCTATACAGCTGAACTAGATGTTGATTTAGAATTGTTGGAAAAAGGCCTTAGGCCTAAGGCATGCCTCACGCGATTTCAGCCGCTGCCGATTCGGTACCGGAACGAATGTTCGTAACTGGTCATCACAGCGCTTTGTTTGAGCAGAACTTGACTGTTCGCAAAAAAATACAGAAGCTAAGCGCCTATACATTGGCGAACTCGCAGGATAAATTTGGAGACATCTGGCGAACTGTCAATTTGAGAGAACGTCGCGATTTGGCCGAATCGCGCGAGGTTTGCCTTAGGCTTAGACGTTGTAAGTGCTGCGATTACAAGACGCACTGACATGCAGATGAATAAACTCTTATTTGCCGTCTTCTATGAATTATATTTTGGCAAATGCTATTACTTGAGTCGCCAGGCCTCCTCTGCAATGTGGACACTGAGATCGTTCCAATGCTTTGAGTATCATTAGTTGAAGAAGAAATGGTATAGGCGATTCTCATGCGTATAGCGGGTGTGGCCGTGCAGACCTTTGAACACGTTAAAAAACTTGAAACACCATTAAAGCATTATTATCTTACTTCCTAGGTGCCAAAAACTGCCACGCGCATACGTTCGCAATTGTTAGCATAGCTCGCTCGCTGTACTGTGGGGGGAGGGGGGGAGGGGGAGGGAAGAACGATAGGTACGATAAATACAGGGTGTCCCAAAAGTAAGTACACACTTTTCAGTCGTTAATATCTCTCTTCCCGTTGCGTCTTTTTCGGCCTTTCAAGAACCATTCTGTAGAGGAGGCTCCAATTTAGATTTACTGTATCGAGCGAATCACCGATCGCCGCTCTTTACTGTAAGATTACTGTAGGAACTTCGACAAATATTTCAGGCGCCATTGGAAGCCATATTCTGCCTTGGAACAAGACCAAACGAGCCGAAGGCCCTTGTGCTATGGTTGTGGAAGCCGATGGTTTCGAATATAAAATTTCTATTTTTACTGTGATGATTCTTTCCAAAGTTACCCCAGGTAAACCGTAATAACCGAATTCCCAGTATATGTCAGAAATGTGATTGCATCGTCAAAAAAGCTGAAAATACTCGTAAAAAGTTGTGTAGTGGAATCGGCGTGTGCGAAAACCCTAGTACACAATTTTTCAGAATTTTCGAAAAGAATTTTGTCAGATGGCATACATCCCAATAATTCCACATGCTGGAAGTTCTTACCGTAATCCCACAGTAATGAAAAGTGATCGGTGATTCGATCGATACTGTAAATCTAAGTTGAAGCCTTCTCTACAGATTAGTACTTGACTGACAAGAAAAGACTCATTGGGAAGAGAAATACTGGCTATTGAAAGTGTGTACTAACTTTTGGGACACCCTGTATATCTCTTCGCTTGGCTGAAGGGCTATTTCAATGATTCCATTTCCCTTCGCTTGCCAATCATTTTTGGCTGCAGAACTACAATTTGTAAGGATACGATATTCTGTGGCTTATTGGGAACTATCATATTTGATTGTGACTTACTCTTCTGCGAAGTAGTCTCTTGAAGTTTTACAGCACTTTGTCTTAGTTGTCCAGAGAGGACTTTTTGCAAGAAAAGTCTCGGAAATTTGTTTTATTGCCTACTAAGCAAACTCTTATGTAAATAAACATGAGAGTTGATTCACATGATTACGAACCCCGCAAAACTTTATGAATATTGTAAAAAGTTGATCACAGCCATCCAATTCTTCGAGTCATCAACGGTAAAATTTGAGGTTATGTTAAACAAAACAGCAAAGTACATTGGGTATACCAGAGAATTGAGCATCTTGCAGTCAAAAAGTATTTTGGGGTCCGGAAGTATTCCTTTTTGAAGAGATCTATGGCGACTGTATGCAAACGTCCGTGAGCGTTCCCAATGAAAAGCATCAAAGTTCCTTCTCATATGATCACTTGTATTTCGAGCAAATGACCTTCACTGACGTCTATTATCGTTTTTATTATTGTTTCATCACCAGCGCACTGGTTTTATAACAATGGCAGGTGATGGAAGCACCGTTACACCAATAATAGGTCAAAATTGCTTCAAGACTCAATGTCATTGCATTCCTGAAGCACGTAAAGAATGTTTTCTCCCAGTAACAAGTAAATCAGATCTATCCATAGTCCACTTGAGTATGAATAACATTATCACACCTGTTCACCAAATACTATACTTCGTACTACTAACAAGCTACCAAAGAGAGTGCATCGCTTGCGTTAGAGTGGTACCTACGCCACCTCCAGGTAATACTTACATATCAGTTTTTGCTCAGGTTTAAACTGCAACTTCTCAAACTTTTCCAAATGTGACCTCGTTTTTACCAGCTCCACAAGAACCAACTACTACGCCTAGTTGTCCCTGTCCACCGACTCTTTACTACCTCAGCATCTGCCCGGCTATCGGTGAATGCTACCGCGAAAGCAAAACGGTAAATTTTCTAGCCCCTAACAAGTTACACGAACTTCCCAGCAAGTTTCAAGTTCTTTCGTATTTTAATTCGGTTTGATTTGCAAGCTGTACTTTCCAGGTAGTTACGTACACTACCGGCGTGAACTGTGCCGCGAAGTTGCATTGTCCAAGTGACTGGTATGTGAGATATTTCTTCCCCGATGGAACACATCTCGACAATCGTGAGGAATTTCTATATACCCATAGATCGGTATTTGCCAACATTCTAATTGGAAGACAATTTAGTTACGGCTGAATGAGGGTAATGCAGAGCATAAGTGGCATCAATGTATTGTCATTTCTCGTTCATACCTGTTCTTAGTGTTTGGCACCCAATCCGTAACTTTTTTCATAAGGCTAAAGTCTGGGAATTCTAATTATAATGGTGTATAGTAATCTATTAATATCCGAACGACCCCCGAATTGCAATGCAGCACGTGAGGGCGTAGAGAACCTGATATAACTTAACAGTTTTGTTTTGATATGCTTGAACCTACTCTTTGCAATCTTATTCAATGTTTGGTTGAGTTCTATCTCATTTTGAAAGATTGCGAAACGCTGTATCGTATCAGTGGGGACGAGTGGCGTAGTGGTATGAGGCGCCGCTATGACCAGATCGGACACAGGTTCGATCCCCGCCCCTGGGCCAACCAAGCCCTCTACCCTCCGGGGCTGGTAAATTGGTACCAGAGTAATCTGGGAGGATAAAAGCACTGACTTGGAAACGGCTGGCCCCCGCAAGTCACTGTAATAGGCTCGCACGCATACAATTGCCTCTTCGACTATAAAGTTAGTGTGTGCGTTCGGTGCATGTCCCAGAGGGTATTGAAGACACCGAATCCTTTATCCTTTATCCTTTATATGTATCGTATCAAGTAGTTCTATTCTGTCTACTCAAGATTGACTGTTTTTTGTCACAAAAACCTTGAGTATGTAGTTTCAGTACAAAAATATTCTGGTCGCACGTTGATGACATAATGAGGATAAAGGCGAAAAGAGTTACGATTCCTATTTTCCAATAAGACCAGAAAAGTGAGGGCTTTTTTAACTAAACAAACAAACTCGAATATCAGTAATCTACATTATATTTTCGCTAATATGGTTTTTTCGTTTCCAAAACCTCCCCTATTTATCCTTTATAAAACATAGGTTTCTTTAACTGCCTCTTCTCCCGTTTTAGGATTAGCTTCAGTTCATAAAGTGCATTTGCTTCTGTTATTATGTTTTTGGCAAAAGCCAAGCCTTTGGTGATTAGGATGATAAGGGCGGAGTCCTACAGAGTATAAAAAAATGATGAGTTGCAAATATTACCGAATGGGAAAAAAGGCGAAGCTCATATTTCAGTGCTTGTGCGAGATATCACATCAGAAAGGATGGAATGCCGTAACGGTCGATGGATTTTGACCGGCACCCGCTTTGCATCCGGTAAAGAATTCACGCATCTTGTTTGCTACAAGGAAGCGATCGTACAAAATTTCGGTACGTTTGCAAGAACTTCATCGATGCAAAATTTTTTGTAGCTAAAAACCTCGAATAAGTTAGAAGAAGAATTTTGCATTCAAGTTTTTTTTTAGCTGGGAAGGTGAGGTCAACGATTGACCATTTGTGATACTGGGTTTTGGAATTTGCTACATCGTACTGCGATAGGTATTTGCCTTGCTGTACGCTGAGGTGGCATAAGCCATATTGTTTCTATAGAAGCAATATGGCTTATGCCCCCCCCCCAAAAAAAATATCCGCACGGCTACTGCGTATATGCAGTAGCCGTGCGGATATTTTTTCTATTAGGGGTGAGGTTTCAGAAGCAATATACTTTTTTCCCAATGAGTGGGTGTGGCATGAGTCACGCTTTTCGAAATAGAGGGCAGCTTTATACCACCGTGATTTTTGGAACAGAATCATTCTGAGTTTTTCCCATAAATTCTAAATACTGTTCAATATCTGTAATCAAGAACAAATCACTATCGCAGATTTGTCATCCTCTTCGAAATGATATGCTAGAGCCAGCTCGAATTCATTTTGTCTATACAAGCTGAAAGTTTAAATTACCCTGGTAAAATGACGACGACGGCTTTTTTTGCACGGATACAATACAGGTCATCTTTGTTCAGATAGAAAAAATACCGGCACGGGTTTTCTTATAAGTGTAGAGCATTAAAACCTGATAAGTGGTAAGGCAAAATCCTCCTTTAATGCCCAAATTAACTGGGTCTATGGGAAAAATTTGCACTGAGAAGCTCAGACTTTTTGTTTCAGGACTGATAAAATAGAAATTCTCCTGAAGACTCAGCACGTGGGGAAAGCTTTTACGAAAATTCTGAAAGCAAAGATTTTCTTTTGAAAAATAAACTAATTATCATGTACAACCTATGTATATTAGTTCTGTTGGCGCACTTGTGCGCATGCAGATAAATAAATAAATATATAAATATAAATATAAATAAATGAACCTCACTGTCGTTTCAGCAGATATCCCACGGTCTCACACTTCTCGAACTTGCAAACTTTGCTCACCTATTGGAAATGTTCCGGAAAGTGGCCTTTGTCCGCCGGGTTTCAGATGCTCGCGTCCATCGATCGAATCTATCATCGGCTCAAGTAACTGTGGACAATCTATTATCGAATGTCCAGGACCCGATTTAGTGTTAGTTCCCAAATATTTGGATCTAAATAGCTCTTATTGGTGGTGTTTAGGGTTCAGCTGAGTTCTGGCTTGAGTGCTATCGTTTATCCACAGGATGTCTATTGTGATGGATCATGGATTTATCATGATGGTCGTCGTAAACATCAAGTTGTAAATATGCTTTGCTTAAGCAAAGAATGAATTGTAGTTTATCATCACCTGGATTTGGTCGCGCTTAATTTCGAAAAACATAAGAATTGCAACTACTCAGCAGAAACTTTTTAAATTGCCAACAATAGAGCACCTTTGAGAAAGATTCTTCACTTTTGACATAGACTATAATAAGAATAAACTCTTGCCAATTAATGTAGCATCAATAAAAGTGGGCAGATATTTGAGAGCAAAGTAGATGTGTACCTGTAACACCTCATACAGCTGCTAAGTTGAGAAATGTCATAGTTATGCTCACACATCTGCCGTTTTACTGCTGATTTTTACCAGTTGTGACTAAGCTTACCTAAAAAACTAGGAGTAACTACGAGTTTTTTTTTGAACGAACATAACATTTGCTTGCTTTGGCTATAGTCCAGTGTAGGATGGAGCGGTGCAGAAGAACGTACATCCTAATAAGGGAATTATACCCGCTTAAGTCGGCGTTTGAAGACGATACGTATATTATGTATATTAGGGGCGTCTTTCGCTAACTCAAATATGTCTTCTTTTCGGAACAGCTCGCCGTAAGAAATCATAAGTTTGAAAGTCCTTTGTCAAGCTTTGAAGGCAGTGTCTCACCAAAAATAGTTTTCGAGATTTTTGCATATTGCAAGTCGTTTCCGTCCCTGTCTAACACATTGCGTGTCCAAAATCAAAATGCACGAGAACCCCGTTTTTTGAAATCCCCTTGGAAGTATTGCGGAGTTGTGCCTTCTCAGCCTAATCTTCGTCACAGTGACAGCAACACCAGGGAGGTGGAGGCCAGGTGGAGGGACATACTACGCGTACGCGAATAACCAGGAGTGTGACCGTGCGCGCCACTTTGAGGGCATTCTCGGCGTAGAAGGGCCCAGATCAAGCAGGACTTGGGACAATCACCTCTCTAGAAGGTCCTCTAATAAAGCATGTGGAGATCCGCACTACTTCAATTTTGGTGAGACACTGCCTTTAAGCCATAGTGTCGGAAGAGATGTACATACACATCCGAAAATGGGTAACAATCATGCATCAGGTATATCGACTATAAGAAAAGAGCACAGCAAGTGAAACTAATTTTTTTAATGCCACTTGAGGCTTAACAAATTTGGAATCAAAGGCTCACAACCCTTTTTCAATGTCAAGCTCAAAGACATTGTCCACCCAGGTTTCGATCCCATATGTCGCCGAAAAAAGCGGTCTCCGGGGTCATCTGTGACAAATACGCATCCTTGTACGTGCGCGGACATGTGATCCTGCAGGGAATCCGCGCGGGACTCTTTCAAATTCGGCCACATATAGTCCTCCACCCGATAGGCCACACTGGGCGGGCATTACCGTAGGGGAAGGGAGAGGGGTACTGCCTAAGGGTCCTCGTGTCTCTTCGTTATTCCGAAGTGATATCGCTTCCGAAGCGACTTTTTGAGCCGCGACTTCGGCATTGCCTTGATAGGGAGTTGAATGTCATATAAACTCAAGACCTAACTTAGGGTGGGAATGTCTTTGATTTGATATCCTTCCCTTGTAAGAAGGCCAGTTATATGATCATGTGGAAGAAGTTGAGAAGTGCTGCTGAACAAGGTTGGATGAATCGTAATGCATGGGAGACGGTGGACTGATACCCCCACAAAACTACACTAACAGGAACGTCTTTTTGAGGCCTATGCAAAAATAATATGCTGTATATTTTTTTAAACTATTTAAATCTATAAGTATCACTTCTGCCGCTTCCCGAAAAATTAAATGCCTCTTAAAAACCGCGGCTTTTTCATCTACAACTAAGAAATAATTGCAACGTGTTTCAAAAAAAGGATCTTCAATGCTGTCGCAGTGTTTCGGAATGCTATAATAACAAAGCATAGATTTGTTACGCTTCTGCTTTTGACAGTCATTTCATAAGAAGAATTTAGCTAAGAAATCCACCAAAGAGGAATACTCAGCTGCATCAGAAGTTTAAAGGCAGCGTCCAGGCAAGATCCATCCACTCAGATTAGCACATAGTTGTAAAGAGGGGCCCATTAGTATCCGATCTGCGTTGGTGCAATCCTTTGACGTGCCCTCTAAAAGGAGATACGGACTGTGATACGTATCACAAGCCGCCCTTTCGTATCACAAACCACCCCTGAGGACGAGTGCTTACGCAGGTGTGCGGTTGCATTGCAGTCGCATTGCAGTTGCACTGCACACTGCAATGCAACTGCATCTGTACAGTTGCAGCTCCTCCCGCTGACATGACGATGGGGACGAGCAATTCGAAGCTCGTCCGCTCCTTGAAGAGAGGGTCCTCAAGAACCGCGTTTTTGGGAGTTTAGAACAATTTGGACTTTACAACTGTAATCAGGGCCACGGAAAGGCCCCAGAATGGCAGAAACATGAGAGGCGAATTTTTGCCCGGACGCTGCCTTTAAACAACCCATATATGACTTTTTGTCCGGTCCAGCTAAAAATTGGAAGAGACATGATAGTAAGATTTTGTGCATTCAAACCAGGGTCTAGTAAGAGGTGTGGCTAGATACCGCTATACGACTCCCCTTCCCCCCCCCCCCCCCCACCCCTCCTCAGTGGCTCAGTGTGCACCGCCTCCCGCTCCCCTAAGCATTATCGTCTACCTACCGTAGGCATAATATAAGCCTCCAGTATAATGAGGAACATATTCAGTTAGTATGTTGAAAACCCCAGTGGACCAGTTTCAGCGAGCTCTGAGGTATACAAACATTGGGTCACTTCAAAGGATATGGTCGTTTTTTTCGACATGATCAACTTGATTTCAAAGGTGAGACAGCTGTCTCTTATGCACTTATTGCAAAACACTACTATATCGTTGTCCACGTGAAAAATTCCAGTTCAAATAGCCTCCGATAACGAGTCAGCCATAATTATGGTATTCAAAAATGAGCCTTTTACTTGGGTGGCCCATTATTTGAAAACCGCGCGATCGATCGAAACTTGACCGGCAAGGAACTCAGCATGTTAATTACGAAAATAATACCCATTACTGTTGGTGAAACCATTTTACTATGCCCACAGTGTGCTTCTATTTACTTCGCTAGTGGTCTTTACAACCCCTTCTCTCTGACACTTCACTATCGATTTCAGATGTTCGCATATTTTAACAATTACTCAATTATTCGAGTATTGATTTCAGCTGTAACATTAACAATCTAGCAATACGGACCATGGAGGAGGGGATTAATCGCTTCTTGAAAGCTAATTACATAAAATGTAAAACTGTGCAAGTGAATTGTTGCTACTCTGAATAATTATAGTTCCTAGTAGAAATCAGATCCTTGCAGAAAAAATCGCTTCGCCCCCTTCATCTGAATTGCTGCGATTATGACTCGTGAGTATTTTGGGGCACATCAAAAATTGGAGTGCGTTTCTTCTTTCCCCCTCCTCCACTTCACTCTCCACCGCGAATGGATTTTTTGGAACCCCCCCCCCCCACTTACATATAGCCATCTAAAGTATGAGGTTGATGCATAATTGATGCATGTTAATTATTCTTGGACAGCAGAAAAGATAAAAAGACTTTGCGACCGCTAAACCAAAGCAAACCCTACAAGATGGTGTATAAACAATTTTAGAAAGCTGACACAAGGAACTTCAAGAAGAAAAATCTAGAAACTTCCGAATGCCTAAAAATCGGATCTCCGTTCAATAAAATCCTACAAACCTCCAACTTGCTCACGAGAATTACTTATTGCATCACTTATGCATATTTTTTCATTCTTGTTATAATTTTTCCATGCCTAGAAGCCGAGAAAATAAAATTTGGCATATTCCAGCAAAATCCATGCTAGATTGTCTTGAGATAGACGCTTTTTAGTACAATTTCAGACTACAACCCCTATGGAAGCGTGACTATAAATCTTCAGCCTTCTCGAGGCGTTATTTGCCGTGAAGTATTAAATCTTATGTATAAAGCTGAATGTCTGTTTGCATGTATGTCTGTCTGTCTGTCTGTATGTCTGTCTGTGTGTACGTATGTTCCGAATAGAAAATTCCATTTCTGAACCGATCGGGACCAAACTTGGCACACATACACTTCGGGCCCCGGCGGATGTCATAGGCTACTTTTCGTATCGATCGATATCGATTTTATCGATTTCTTGCAAAATTGGGCTAGGGGGCTGGAATTTGGCAGAGGGGTGTAATCGAGCATGCTGATCACCCCCACGGGGGTGATCAGCATGCTCGATTACCCCCTGTGCCAAATCCCAGCCCCGTAGCTCAAACTTTGCAAAAAAATCGATAAAATCGACATCGATCGATAACGAATAGTGGACTGTGACACCCGCCGGGGCCCGAAGGGTATGTGTGCCAAGTTTGGTCCGGATCGGTTAAGAAATGGAATTTTCTATTCGGAACATAAGCCAGCTAGTTTATCATAAAGAACTCGGTAAAGGGGATATCTTCGATGGCCTATTTTAATTTTCCGATTTCCATTACGAAATAAATAGGACAAGTGTACATTTGACTGTTATATGTGTACAAGATACAATCCAGCGTCATGGATAGGAGCTGAAACGACAACAGAGACATGAAGAACTGAGTCAGCGCTTACCGAGAGAGCCTTTATGTGAGCAAACCACTGTATGCGGAGTGCGCCTTACTGTTAATTGCTTTGCGAGCCCTTAAGTATCTGACCCTGACTCCGTAGTTCAAAACCCACAGAGGGTCTGATATGGGGCCAGCTCTCTGGTCACGGCGATGCATTCGTCTTTACGGTTCATTTTTTTGGGTTTTTTGAGGTGATCCAGAAAGCCTCTAACGTTTTGCGAGCTATAAGTTCGGGCTCGTGCGATAATATATGCCTAACTAGGTTGGGAGTTATCAGGATCTTTTTGGACGAAAATCTAGTCTTTTGGTCTCCCAACCTAGCTATTCAAATTTCTTTGATTTTTCCACAAAATTCAAGTAGACGGACCTTTTGTTATTGTTGGAACATTATCTTTAGAGCTTGCTTTGCTTCATAGAGTGAGTTATTTTGTACATTTTTATATCTTCTCTGC